GGGGGGGGGGGGGATGTTTCTGGAATGACTATACAAAGACCCTTTTCTCTTTTCTCTGTCTAAATAATACAAAATAGCATAGTATTACACTGTACTAAGTCTTTTTTGTTTGTTTTGTTTTCCTAGACAAGGATTTTTCTTTGTAGCCCTAGCTGTCCTGGAACTGCTCTGTAGACCAGGCTGGCCTTAAACTCAGAGATCTGCCTGTGTCTGCCTCCCGCAGTATTGGGATTAAAGGCATACACTACCAACAACTGGCTTGAATTAGATCTTATTCTTGTTCTAGAGGCTGATTTTGATACCCACAAGACATACTAGAACCAACCTCCTTTACCTGACCAATGACAACTCCCACAATTCTCCATCAAACTACTTTCATTCAACAGTTTCCTGCTAGTCCGTCTTCTGGTTGCCATATCTTCCAAAGTCTAATTACTAAGAGATACAAAACATGTAGACTTGACCTGTGTGTGTATGTCTGTATCTCTCTCTGTGTGTCTGTATCTCACTGTGTATGTCTGTGTATCTGTGTCTCACTATGTGTATCTCACCATGTGTGTCTCTGTATCACTGTGCACGTGTGTCTGTCTGTATGTATGTGTCTCACTGTGCATGTATGTGTGTGACTGTGTGTCTGTGTCTCACTGTGTATCTGTTATCTCACTGTGTATATGTGTCTGTGTCTCACTGTGTATGTCTGTATCTCACTGTGTATGTCTGTATCTCACTATGTGTCTGTATCTGACTGTGTGTGTGTCTATGTGTGTGTCTCTGTGTCTCATTGTGTGTGTGTGTCTATTGGTACAGACTATTGCCTCCCTCATCTTGGGTAGAATGTATTCTTTAATGCAGCCTAACATGTAACTCCCTGTTTCCTATGTCACTGGTTACCTCTGTTAGTAACTCTGGCTACAGTTAAACGTCCTCTGTCTGTCACTTGCTCCAAGTCTGTGAGCAAGTTGCACCTAAGGACCACATTGTCCTCGGATAGAAACCTCCAGAGCAGTGGTTCTCAACCTTCCTAATGCTATGACCCTTTAATATGGCTCCTCACGTTGTGGTGAGCCTCAACTATAAATTTGTTTTATTGCAATTTCATAACTGTAATTTTGCTACTGTCATGCATCATCATATAACTATCTGATATGCAGGGCTTCTGATATGAGACCCTTGTCAACGACCCTCAAGTTGAGAACTGCTACTCTAGAGGAAGGCCCAAGAAAGGCATTCAAATGTCCCCAGAGGAAGGACCAGAGGCTTCTTCACAGGTGTAGTTACTCAGGTTATATGCGTTCTCTGGAGCCTGAGACTTGCTCCCCTCAGGGTCTCACTTGGCCTCCTGGCAGAGACCACAGGACTGCAGGAGACTGCCCCAAATACCCGGGGAGTCAGTGGCTGACTAACCCCAAGCCAACCACACAGGAGCTTACCAGAAGGGATGAAAAAGGTGTAGCCTTGCTTCAGCTCAATCCTTTGGCAGCGTTCCACGCGGTCTCCCAGAAAGATGTCGCTCTGTTTGCCAGACAGCACCCACTCCTCATACAGAGCCAAGTTGTGCAGGGTTGGCGGGATTAGCCAAAAGATCTTGGGAGCAAAAGGAGGCAGTTAGGCACGAGTCTCTGATTTCTTCCAGTCTTGGAACAAACCCAAAAAGAGCCCCACCCACTTGGAGAGAGACATGGAGAGTGGCAAGTCTGTCTGTCTGGGCTCTCCAAGCAGGGCTCCAAGCAGGGAGTGGGGTTCTGGCTACCTTTGGGGTATCTCCAATCCAGCTGAAATACCAAGGCGAGAATGCTTCCTGTGCTGGGTAGAACATCTTTTTTTTCTCCTGAGCCACACAGGCTTATCTGGGAGGTGGGGGCAAGGAGTGGAAGATATACCATAAACTGGCCCAATAAATAAATTCAGCCAGCGCTCACTTCGGAGGAGAGAAAAACATCTGGAATCAAGTGTGTTGACTTCCTCCCAGAATCCCTGCCAACACTGTCATTTCGAACGAAGGTACACGAAGACCCAGATGAGCCAGGCATACATGGGCATTCTCAAGAAGCACCTTCATCCAGGCAGGGACATCACACACACCAAAGCAAACACAGCACAGGTACCCTGAATGTATTCCCTACAACTCTATCTAACCCTGTGTAAAATGCCCTGTTAGAGGCAGGCAGTGACCGCCTCCTACTTTGAAGTTAAAGAGACTTTGGTGGCAGAGCTGACACAAAGCTGAGAAACTTTATGCCAGAGCTTCCTGGGAGCTGAAAAGAGAGCAAGGAGGTATGAATAGGTGACCCTCCCCTCCATAGGAGACAAGAGAGCCAGGAAGTGGTCCCAAGGGATAAAGCGGCCCTAAGTTACTGAGCAAGGGGGAGAGAGGTAAAGGAAGGGATACCAAGACTCTCCATGCAAACAAATGCTAGCTAAACACACTAGGAGCACTCACCTTCCCACCACGGAAAACATGGTACCACACGGAGGTGCCTCCAAAGTCAATGTGGAAGTCAGTGAAACACCCCTTCACGCTCATCAGACAGTACCTGAGGTGCAAGAGCAGGCGTGGGGGCAGAAAACACAAGTCAAATCCAAATCACAGGAGGCGAGCGACCGCTTCAGAGTCACCTGACCTAATGCCCTTTTATAAAAGTGGCAGATGGGGAATTTCCTCCTCTATTTTTTTTTTTTAAACCTGAAATGAAATCGAAGTGGAGTTTCCCTCTGGGGGGTGGGGGGATGCCCCTGTGATCAGGTGACAAATCTCAAGCATTGGTCACCCACCACAGACGCTCACACGCAGCATCTTGGCTTTCAGGTTCCCAAGAGAAATGGCAGCCCACAGGCCACTATCAGTTTCGACCCTTTCCCCAGCCCCCACCCACCGCCGAGGCTTCCTTTCTGTTCCATCCCGACTCTGTGGCTGATAGCTTCAGTTCTCCCTGGCTGCCAGCCCCCTTTGTAGCAGCTGGGCCCCCTGGAATTCAGTAGTAAACCACCTGCGTGGTTTGCCAATTACCAGTCCCCATTGATCTCATTCAATCAGCCAGTAGTCCGGCCAGGAAGGAGGCACAGCACTGAGAAATGAGTAAGAGTGCAGAAGATCCCTCCCCTTGCAGATGAGCCCCTGTGCAGTTGAGGTTTGCACAGATAAAGTTAAATGATACAATGGCTTGCCAAGTACGCAATCACGGCTAGAAATTCCACCCAGTGTCATTCAGCGTATATGAACTGTCCCGGGTAAGGAAATCCAAAGAGGAAGCCCACAGACAGATTAGTGGTGGCTAGAAGGGGGCTGGGCTGGGCTGGGGCGGGGCGGGGCGGGGCTGGGGGCGGGGCGGGGCGAGAATGACACTAATGGGTAAGGGGTTTCATTCTAACAAGGATGAAGAGATCCTAAAACTGACGATCTGGTTGCTCCGTTCTTTGAACACACTAGAAAACACCGGGTTGCACACTTTTTCTGTGTGAATGATACGTGATTTTTTTCACGACAGCTGTTTTATCTTTCTTCTTCTTTTTTTTTAAGTGAAGGGATTAAAAGAAGGTCCTGGGATCAGAGAGGGGTGAAAAACTTCGGCGATAGAAGCTGGATCACAGGTTATGCGTTCAAGAAGAGAAGGAACCCACAGCAGCAGCCCTCCCTCACAAGCACCAAAGGAGGTAGACAGCCCAGCCTTCCCTGCAGGTATACAGCAATCTTCTGGTCCAACCCCCAACGTGCTACCGGCCTTAGGGGGTGCACAGAACCTGAATAAGAGGAGGACACCTCACTGGCTTCCACATCCAGGCGTGGCAAAAAAATAGTGTTTGCCCCCCTACCACTGACCCCTACCCACAAGAACCCCAAGGGGGCACGAAGAAGCAACCTCCCCTCCCTCCTGCTCATCTTGGCACCTCCAGAGGCCCGTGCACACATTTACCCCACTGACCTCTTTTCCCCTGCTGCACTTTGCTCTTCCGTGGTTTGGGGAAGAGAGATGGAATGGGGCGGGGACCTGCAGGGAGGAAGGAGCCAGCAGCAAGCCCGAGTGGAGAGAATGGGGGGAGTGGGGTTGTGCTAGTTTAAAGGTTGGAGGGCTCTGAGACCCCCCTCCTTCTGGTTGCTTTTTGCACCTCTCGTTCAGGTGGACCCGGGGCTCGGCAATATGCAGGCAGCGTGCCCCGCGTCCCTCCTCCGGATAGGCTGGAAAGAGCCTTAACCATGTGTCTGCAGGAGGCTGACAAATCAGAAGGCCTCCCCGTACATCAGAGCCCTGCTGCCTAGCAACCCCATCGGAGGGGTGTAGTTGACAGCCCAGGACTGTCACGAAGCTGGCACTAGACTGCTGAAGTCCTGACTGGGGCTCTACACCCTGCCTGCTCGCCCACCCAAGGCGATGCAAACAGGTCCCCCTGACTTAAGATCCAGAGAAACCTTCCCTCCAAAGAATGGGGGTCCTGAAGTCCTACCCTACCCCACCCTCATGGACCACACTGGCCTCCTTCCTCTAAGCTCCACTTCAAAATATTAGTCCTCATTTCCCTAAAACTAGCTCTCTTCCTCTCGGTTTGGTTTTTTTTTTTTTTCTCTTTTTTATCTAACCTTGGTTTCCACCCCCTCCAGGCCTCAGCTGAACACAGACTAGAGAAAACAATTTAAGTCTGAGGGGTGGAGCCAAGGGAACCGTGCTTCCTTCAGCCTGCAGCTGGATGCCCAGAGGGGATACCTGCAGCCGGGGAGAAAGGACCAGGGTTGGGGGTGTCCAGCTCTAGGACTTCTGGGACTGCTTAGCCAAATCGGTCACTCCCACTTAGCCCATCTTTCAGCCCTCTGACCCAACCCCTCACATGGAAAACTAGGATCCTCTGGCTGTGTGTGCAGGGAAAGTTCTCCGAGTGTAGCCCGCGTCTGATCTGCCCTCAGAGGCCCACCGTGTGCTAGAACACTACTTCCAGACCAGCCTCCTCTAATGTGGGACCGTCCTTTCGGTGTCAGTTCCACTCCTCCCATCTCACACGCCCTTATTAAGTGATAGTGACTGTGACAGAGTGGCTTTGTACTGTCCCCTGCAGTCCAAAGGCAACCCTAGGTTTCGCCACCACAAGGCTACCACCCGCGATGACTTGGGGCTCCCTCCTCGCCCCTGCTCACTCTGGCGTGCCGCCTTTGCACTGACCTCTACTGCTTCCTCCTCCCAAGCACACCGCAGTCACATGGGCACCTCGGCTCGGCTTGGTGCCACAGCCAGCCCGCCAGCTAGCCAGGCTTCCGCAACGGCAAGGCTGGACAGCCAGGCACGCGACACCCCCACCCCACCCCCCACGCTAGGTGGCTTCTGTGCGCCCTGCAAGTTCGCAGCTAAAATTACAGAAAATCTCTAGCGCAGGAGCTCTCGGTCTTTTCAGCGGTTGGAGGCCGGGGATGGAGGGAGACATGAGGCATAGGGGGGCGCTGCACCTGCCACACCAACTTTGGGGCGCGGCCTGGGGTCTGGAGAGATGGGGCAGCCCCACCTTGCCCTTCTCTCTCCAACTTCCAGAAACTCTCCCCCAGGTGGCCCAATTGGCATCCCTTTGGGCAAAGATCTGAAGGAGAGAACCAGGAAAGCTGGCGACGGGTGGCGGGCTGGAGGCACCGCGCGGGCGCGAACGTACACGCCCCACACTTCCAACCCGCCCCGGGAGACACAAAGAACAGCTCAGCGACGCTGGCCGAGCATCCCGCGGGCAGGAGGCCACCCACACCCGCCCCACGCGCCACAAAAGAGGTTACCCTCGGCGGCCGAGGAGCGGCTCCCTGGCGTCCCCTTCCGCAGAGGCTCGACGCGCGCCAGACTCGTGAGGCGACGGCAGCCGAGCCCCCTCCACCGCGCTGCCAGGCCCCAGCCCAGGACGCCGGGGCCCTCTCGCGCCGCCTTCCTTCCTCGGGGAGACAGGCGCAGCCTGTGCTCATCCCCACGCTGAAACTGAACATCCGCGCGGCGCGGAGGCCGCCAGGGAGGTGGAGAGGCCGGCGGCGACAGAGAAGAGCTCCGAGCCACACACCGGATCCCTAACCCATTCCCGGACTCCCTGGCAATACCCTGAGGACTACTGGGTCCGGGGTTTTCCGGAGTGTAGACAACACCTTGCTGCCCAGGTGGTGACCTAATACAAAGCCACCTGCCTTAAATATCCACCCTCAGGCACAGATGGAGGGAGGGCCAGAACTAAAATTTCTGGAGAGTCTATGATGGGGAAAGGTGAGGTTCTAGCCCTAAGAGACTAGCTGTGTTACCTTGGGCAATTTCTTTCCTCTCTGGGGTAATTTACTAGAGGGAGATAACCTGAAGTTCAACTAAAGCATTCTAGGCAGGCTCTTTCCCCTACCTGCCCCTCAGTAGCCTTTCCTACTAATTACAAACTACATTGCTCAATTCAAACTTCGCAACACGGTGAGCTCAATCCCACCATTTCAGGTGAGGAAGCCAACCCGTTCAGGAATACAGCCTTGACACTAACCTATAGGTGGCCAGCACTCATCACCGCCTGTCTGTCAATCTCCTTGGTCCCTCCCAGATCTATTTGGCCTGCAACTTTTAACACCAAAATTCGAAGTTACACTCAAACTTCAACCACTCACCGCCTTTAGACAAAAAGAAGAGTTCAACTCAAAAGTCCCACCCTGGGGGCATCAAGAGAGAATCTCCTTCTAACCATGGGCCTACAGCCTTCCTCCAAACCCACAAGGAGGCAAGCTCTGAAGAGGCAGAAGCCAAATTCCATTCTTTGGTCAAACACTGTACACTGTGGACAGCCAGTGATATAAATCAGGTTTTAACTAACGCGTAAGCTATAAATGGTTATATCCATGATCCAGTAAGACAGTGTCACCCCTATGTCACCCTTCCACCCCATCACCCCCACTTTAAGTACCCACACACTCATTTCCTGGTGCTCAATGACCCAGGCAGTCCCTCTGTCCCTTCCGGCATACTGTCTCTAAGCTTAGACTTTAACAGGTTGGATTTTTTTTTTAAAGCAGGTATGCATTTTACCGGTTGAAAGGTAAAATTAACAGCTCCAAAGAACGGCCCCTATCTTGGGTATGAGCACCGGTCATTGGGGAGGTGTCCTTGAGTAAGAATTTTGGTCACACTTAGAAACCGATTTGGAGTCAAAAGCCAGCAGGGGAGGCCACCCCGGCAACTGGACCAGGCAGCTCAAACGAGAGGATTACTTCATGGGGACACATACCTAATCCTTGATGGGAGGACCATAGATGATTCATTTGTGGAAAGAAAGCATCAACACCAATCTTAAATTCTCATCAGGTTGGGACCTAGGCTAGATTCCCTTGTTTAGGAACTTGGCATCACTACTGAACTAGTCAGGAGCCTTTAACTGGTCATTTCATAGCCCCAACCAAGTTCTCCATGTGCACACTTGGGCTACTGGGCTAGCAATTTTTTTGAGTTACTTTTACATGTATATTGTATTTGGGGGGCTTTTGGGGGTGGGGGGAGGACAGGCTCTCACTATCTAGCCTTGACTGTCCTGAGATTCACTCTGTAGACCAAGCTGG